TACGTCCGTCCACTGCTCCTCTGCGTGCCCCTTTGCCTTCTCCTCCTGAGTCCTCTCTTCCTGCGCTTGCCGACCCTGAGTCGGACTCTCTTCGCGCTGCCAGTCCCACTGTCACGCGTCTGCTTGCTACTGTCGTCACTGACCCCTCTTTTGAGTCCACTGCTGCGTCTGCTCTAGTCGCTGAGCTCGTCGACTTTGCTGCTCGCTGTCGTCTCGACTACGCTGCTAGTCTTGTTGCGGAGTCTGCGTCTGTCTGTCCTCCGTCCGTCGGGGGTGAGTGTGCTCTTGGCACGGACGTCCTAGAGGACAGGCAGGAGGAGTTACAGTGCCTAGCGGCTACTTCACCTCATCTCGCGTCTGTACTGCTTGCCCCTGAGGGAGACCCGGATGCACTAGACATCCCGACTCCGCGTTCTTACGCGGAGGCCGTAGAGGGTCCCTACTCCTCTCAGTGGCAGGCAGCTATGGATGCAGAGATGACTTCCTGGAAGTCCACAGGCACCTACGTTGACGCGGTTCCCCCTCCTGGGGCGAACATCGTCAGTGGCATGTGGATCTTCAGGGTGAAGCGGCCGCCGGGCTCTCCACCTGTCTTCAAGGCACGGTACGTTGCTCGTGGCTTCAGTCAGCGGCAGGGAGTTGACTACTTTCAGACCTTCTCTCCCACCCCGAAGATGACTACTCTTCGGGTGCTGCTGCACATAGCCGCTCAGCGCGACTACGAGCTTCACTCTCTCGACTTCAGCACTGCGTTCTTGCAGGGTAGCCTGCACGAGGAGATCTGGCTTCGCCGTCCACCTGGCTTCACTGGGACTTTCCCTCCTGGCACCCAGTGGAGCCTCCGACGGCCAGTCTACGGTCTCCGCCAGGCACCGCGTGAGTGGCACGACACACTGAGGACTACGCTTGCGGCTCTTGGGTTTGCTCCTTCTACTGCTGACCCGTCGCTGTTTCTTCGCACCGACACTTCCCTGCCGCCGTTCTACATCCTCGTGTACGTCGACGACCTGGTCTTTGCCACAGCGGACACTGCTGGACTCGCCTACGTGAAGTCCGAGCTGTTGAAGAGACACACGTGCACAGACCTGGGTGAACTGCGCAGCTACCTTGGCTTGCAGATCACTCGGGACAGAGCACGCCGCACCATTACCTTGACTCAGTCACACATGGTGCAGCAGGTCCTTCAGCGCTTCGGCTTCACGTACTCCTCGCCTCAGGCCACTCCTCTGCCTACTCGCCACTCACTCTCAGCTCTGCCTTCGGATGAGTCCGTAGAGTCGAGTGGTCCGTATGCGGAGCTTGTTGGCTGCCTCATGTACCTGATGACCTGCACACGACCTGACCTTGCATACCCTCTGAGCATTCTTGCACGCTATGTTGCTCCTGGGAGACACAGACCGGAGCACATGGCTGCAGCGAAGAGGGTATTGCGCTACCTGTGCAGTACGTCAGGCATGGGGCTAGTGCTTGGAGGGCGGAGTCCAGTGGTCCTTACCGGCCACGCGGACGCGTCTTGGGCTGACGATCAGGCTACGCAGCGGTCGTCACAGGGTTACACCTTCAGCCTTGGTTCCGGCTCTGTCTCGTGGCGGTCTACTCGCTCGTCTTCGGTTCTCGGCTCGAGTTGTGAGGCTGAGATCTACGCCGGGGCCATGGCTGCACAGGAGCTTCGCTGGCTCACCTACCTGCTGACTGACCTTGGAGAGCCGCCTCGTTCTCCTCCAGTGCTGTACGTAGACAACAAGGCTATGCTGGCCTTGTGTCGAGAGCAGCGCTTGGAGCACAGAACGAAGCACATTGCTCTCCGCTACTTCCTTGCTCGTGAGCTGCAGCAGCGTGGTCAGTTGCGACTTGCGTACGTGGCCTCTGAGGCCAACACTGCTGATGTGTTCACCAAGGCACTTGCGCCTTGTGACCATCAGCGCTTCTGCACCCAGCTGGGTCTTGTGCCTGTCTTGCCTCACTTGCTCTCCTCTTGACTTCACTTGTACTGTGACATATATATATACCTGCTCTTGCTTGTCTAGCTTTATATATATGTCTGTACTCTTGCTTGTGAACTGGCCTTTGGCCTTGCTCTTGTGCTCGGACTGTGTGGTGACTTTGTGATCCACCCTGAGCTTTGCTTTGTCTTGCTTGACTGGTCTTGTGACCCCTTGTTCTCCCCCACTTTGCCTATGGGGGTGTGTCAGAACATATCTATAGCTTATACTGCTGTGTAGGCTGTAGTGGGGTATCCCATAGGGGGTACAACCCAGTTAGGGTTTCATATTTGTACTGCTTTCATTCATAGTTCATTCATTCCTGTTTTCCTATTCTCACAGCCGCTCCTTAAGCTGTGGACAGTCTCGCTTCATGTGTCCCGGCTTTTTGCAGTAGTGACAATTCCCCCTAAATCCCGTTTTCTGTGAGCCGTCACTATTAACTGCACCAATCTCCATGGGCGATGGTCCGTCCCTCGATCGAGCATCGTTGATCGGTCTGTTGTATCCCCTATTGCGATCGTCACGACCTCGTCGGCTTCGTACTGCGTCGACGCGTTCTGCTGCTACGACAACTGACTCGAAGGTGGACAACCCATGAATTGCTATAAATTCTGCTATGTCCGGCTTCAACCCCTCAAGGTAGCGATCGCGCATCTCTGCTTCCGTGATATCGTCTATCTCGTTGCAGATGCTCAAGAACCGTCGTGTGTACTCCTGGACTTTTCCTATCCGTCGGAAAAGACGCAGACGCTTCCTAGCAGCTTCGGAGGCGTTCACCAAATCGAACCTACTTTTCAGCGCCGCTTCAAATTCTTCCCATGTGGTCGGAACCGTGGTAACACCCAAAGCTAAACTCCCTAAGCTCGAAGTTGCAGCTGCATGCCCCACGGCCTGTTGATGCCCGTCTGTCTGAGCCCTTCTTACAGCAGTTTGCGTGAGTTGGCGCCACCACTCCAAGGCCGGGCCCCTCAGCAGTGTAACGGCGTACTCGATCCGCTGCTGCGCGTCCGCCTCTTGCACCCCGCTCGCGGCGAAGTAGTTGTTGAGCATGAAGAGCCACGTCCGCACGTTCACGTCGCGTTGACTTGGGTCGAACGACTCGGGTTTCTGCGGCTTGAGCGCGCTTCGACGTTCCGGCAGCGCTTCCGCGCTAGTCGACGTGTTGGGCGCAAGAGTTGGTGCGGCATGACCATGGGGGTTCGAAGCCAATTCACGAAGCTGTTGCATTTCAGCTCGTACCTGACGATTTTCCAACGTCAACTCTTGAAGTTGGCGCATGAGTTCGGCAAGCGTGTTGCCCATGTAGTGGGGGAGAGCGTGCATGGTTTCCTCCATGTTCGCTCGACGACTCCAAGTCTGCAAGTCGGCACCGCGGGACGATGACGTCGTAGTCTCGTCGCCGACGGTCGCTCGTTGGAAGTCGTTCCCCGCGAAGGCTCTTGATACCAAGTGTTAGGCCCGACGGCCTAAATCCGCTAAAGAATTAGCGGGGTCGACTAAGTCGAGGATGAAACGCGGCGGAAGACTTAGGCGAAAGAACTATTGGCGAAATAGGCGAAGAAGTTACTGAGTAATTGAAGAAGAGTTGAATGAGAAATGGTTGATTATGGCAAGTACAAGCAAGGTTGATTTTGTTACGATAGTGAGGAGCCATAGCTAGGGTTAGCTAGCTAGGCAAGAGAGAAATGAAGAAAGGAGGGGTTTCACTAGAAAACATTGGGATACATATAGCAAACCTTAATAGGCTTGTACTCGCTATAGAGCACCCCACTAGAGGCTAGATGATAACATTCTGACAGATATAGCATGCAAGATCGAATGTCGGTAAGTACTTCGTGGGACTAGGAATTGAAGGCAAGAAAGGTAGAGTGCCACGTGGCACTAGGAAATCAAGGAAGATAAGGATAAGGGTGAGTTGGAAAGTACTGTTCGGAATGAACAGTAAATCCCCCCTTAACACTGAGCGTGTTAAGGCCTAAAAAACAATCACCTTCGCGAAAATCAGGGCCAAACTTCGAGCAACTCAGGACTCAAAGTGTTGGCCCCGGGAACTTTGACAGGCCAAGTTGGCATTCTCTGCCACCTCGGAGGTGGGTGTATTGAGAGGAAATTTTGAGGAAGCTTTCTTCAGATAAACTCGCATGCAGGGACCACGGAACACTACTCTGTAGTGACAGACTCCAGAAAAGACTAACACTTTGGCCTTTTACACTGAATCAGGGGCCATAAAACAATAATTCTGAGGCTCTCAGCGATGAAAATTTGACTACGCTAGAATTCCATTTTTCACAAACTGGATGGTCTGATTCGTCAGACTAATCAGACTATTTAGTCTGATAGCGTCAGCTCTGTTCAGCGGTGATGTTGCGTGTGGCAGGCTCACAGTTCCCCCAGTCACAGATTTCGCCTCGCCCTGCTGGCAAGATTCGTCGCACACCCATCGTTGAACAACGCAAACGAAGATAGATCTGTCGCATGCTCATATGCATCTGGGCAGATTCACTAGGGTGTGTTTAGTGGTCGAAGTATGGGCAGAGTGCGCAAAACAAACCGAGGTTGTGAAGTATGAACTTGGAACTCCTGCATTCAGCTAAGTGCAACAAAAGTGCGACACCAACACCGAAGGTTCAAGAAACCCAGAAGATCTGCATCTGTATCGCAGTGTACACACCTTCTACAGATCCATCTGATCGGAATTCCCGAGACCACCTCGAAATCATCCTCTTACCTCGGTTCCTCCTCCCCTCGTCTCCGCTCCGCTCCACCACAAATTCCCACAACCTCGCCAAAACCTCCCTGCTTGCTGTCACATCCACGCGTCCTTCCTAATATCCACAAGCATCCTTGTTATCTTATCCCTTACATACCTATTTGGTCCTCGCTTCGTTCTTCGTCCTTGCATCTCATTCCCTGTCCACGACCGTATTCGCTTCGGATCGGCCGATCAGACCGCCTCACGCCTCGCACTCGACTATCCGCTTCCGATCTTCACAACGCGCTCACCGAGCCGCGATCATGGAAGACTGTTGCGCGGTCTGCGCGGAGCCGTTGGAGTGGGTAGCGATAGGCCCGTGCGGGCATCGCGACGTGTGCTCCATGTGCGTCGCGCGCCTGCGAGTCGTAATGAACGACCAGCGCTGCTGCATCTGCAAGCAGTCCTCGCTCGCCGTTGTCGTCACCAAGGTCGGCCCGATCCGATTCTATCTGATCCGATTCCTCCCGACCCGATTCGATCCTATCGCCATACCATGCCGCTCTGCCCCTTGCACTCCTTCCTCCCCTTGGCATTATTTATCTCCTCCGGCACTATGTTCCGACCTGCACTTTAAACCTATTCATTGTTCATCACTCGTCCACATCGGACGCGTTCCCGTCGGACGAGGAACAATAGAATCAAACCCATCGAACTCATTCCCACGCCTTCTGACACCTCCCCTCCTCTCTGCTCTCTTCGTCACTCTCGCTCTCTCCCTGTGAACCACCGCGTCTCTGCGTTTTCGCGCCTGCCTCGTTCCGTCGCAGGCTCTGGGCGACTACACGCGAACGTCGTTCGATTTCGCAGCGCTGCCGTCGCTCGTCGCCACGCCCGGGCGACCCGGGGCAGGCGAGTACTGGTACGACAGCGCCATGGGCGCTTACTTCGACGACGAGTCGCACTTCAAGACAATGCGCGCAATGACGCGCCTCACCTGCTCCATCTGCGCCAAATCCCCGCCGGCCGCCGCCTCCGGCTCCGCCGCCGCCGCCGGCGCCGCGGGCGGAGCGAATCCGCCGTTCGCGGGGACGGGGGCGGCGCCGCCGGGGCTGGCGTTCCGCAGCTTGAGCGCGCTGAAGGACCATCTGGGGCGCGCGCACGCCGTTAGGATGTGCGAGCTTTGCCTGGAAGGGCGGAAGGTGCGGAGGGGCAGGGGGAACGGGGAAGTGGGAAGGGGGAGTAAAGGGGGAGGGGAAGGGGGAGAGGGGAGAACGGGTGGTAAGTTGGCGATGGGACGAGCGTTGCATTGGAATGAGGGGGTTGGGGGAGTTTGAGGTGGTGGGAGTAAGGGGAGGGATTTAGCGTTAGGGGATTAGGGGAGATTGGTTTTGTGGGAAGAGGCAATACGTGTCGTCTGCCATTTGGATTCCCTTCTTCTGGCTTCATCCCTCCCGCACTCCCCCCCACTCGCCCCTGCCTTCCGCCTGCTCGTTTCCGCCACACTCCCAACCCACCCCGCCCTCTTCCCCCTTATCTCCCTCCTCCTTAACCACTCCTCTTCTCCCGGCTTTCTCTCTCCCGTCGCTCGTTCTCACGTTCGCTGCCTCCTTTTCCTCATATCTCCCTTGCCAATACATCCGTTGTCCCCGCTCCCGCATCCCCTCCGCACATCTTTCTATCCGAGCACCGACTGTACACGCGGCAGCAGGTGGTTGGAGCTACAGTTCGCTCGGCTTAGCTACTCCCCCGCCCCCCCGACCCCCCCGCTCTCCGGCTCCCCCGCTCCTCGATCTTCCCCCCAGGTGTTCCTATCTAAGCAGCGCCTGCACACGCGGCAGCAGATGGAGTGACGCGAATTTGGAGGCGCCTCAAAAGCCCTCCCGTCCCCATCCTTTCCACCTCCCTTCCCGCTCCCCTCCCCCTCCCCGCCTCCCCCTCCCTTCCCCCTCTCCCAGGTTTTCCTATCGGAGCAGCGCTTCTACACGCGGCAGCAGGTGGAGCGGCACGAGGCGGGCGGAGATCCCGAGGTGGACGCTCGCTGCCAGTACATCCAGTGTCCCCTCTCCCGCTCCTCAGGTCTTTCTATCGGAGCAGCGCCTGTACACGCGGCAGCAGGTGGAGCGGCACGAGTTTTGAGACGCCTCAAAAGCCCTCCCTTCCCCCTCCCCCTCCTTTCCCCCTCCCCTTCCCTTCCCCCTCCCGCAGGTCTTTCTATCGGAGCAGCGCCTGTACACGCGGCAGCAGGTGGAGCGGCACGAGGCGCGCGGAGATCCCGAGGTGGACGGCAGCAGCGAGGAGGCGCGCGGCGGGTTCAAGGGGCACCCGCGCTGCGACTTCTGCGCGCGGCGCTTCTACGGAGACAACGAGCTGTTTCACCACATGTCCACGGAGCATTTCACATGCCACATTTGCCAGCGGTAAGAGCGGAGGGAGGGGATGGGGCCTGGGCAAAGTGGGGTGGAGAGGGGGTAGGAGGGGGTGGGAGGGGGAGGGAGGGGTGGGAGGGGATGGGAAGGGGTGGGAGGGGAAACGGTGCGATTGGAAGGGGTGGGTGGGAGAAACGGGTTCAAGGGGCACCCGCGCGGCGCTTCTACGGAGACAACGAGCTGTTCCATCACATGTCCACGGAGCACTTCACGTGCCACATCTGCCAGCGGTGAGCCTAGCGAGGGCGTGGAGGGAAAGTGGGTGTGAGAGAGGGGGGGAGGGACGTGATGGTAAGTGTGATGGGCGACAATGCGCTGTTCCACCACATGTCCACGGAGCATTATACATGTGGACGGACACATGTGGACATTTGGTGAGCCACATCTCCCTTCCATATCGCGTGACCTCCTCCGTCCCCTCTCCCCATCCCGCCTAACCCCTCCCCTTCCCACCTCTCCCTACCGCACTCCTACCCCTCCCCACCCCATTCGCACCCCTGCCCACCCCACTCCCACCCCCACCTGCGCTCCCACCCTCCCCCATGCAGCAACAACCCTGGCAAATACGAGTATTTCCGCTCCTATGATCATCTGGAGGTAAGGATTTATCCACTGCTCTCCTTCTAACGTACTGCCTACGCTCTTGCTACATCCGTCCCCTCCCCTCCCCTCCCCTCCCCTCCCCTCCTCCCCTCCCCCAGCTTACGTTCCCCTCCCCCCCACCCTTCTCACTCCCACCCTCCCTGCCCCCCCTTCCCCCTTCCCTGGCGCCCCCTCCGCCCCCGTCCTCTTCCGTTCGTCCCTACTTCCAGTTGTCGTTTTAAGTGATTTCAACTTCTATAAATTTCACGCAGTGAACATAACAGCTTGTTACTTTCGAGTGTTTGCTCTGGTAACTATTTCGTTCCCCGCTCATGTCCCCCCTCTCCCCCTTCCACAGAACCACTTTCGCCCAGACCACCACGTGTGCGAGGACAGGGAGTGTCTGGAGAGGGGCACTTTTCCGCCCATACCACACATCCCGGTCCACACTCGTCCCCCCGTTCCACCGTCTCCCCGTCTCCCCGTCCCCCCGTTCCACCGCCTCCCCGTCTCCCCGTCCCCCCGTTCCCCCGTTCTCCTCTCCCCCTTCCGCAGAACCACTTCCGCGCAGACCACCACGTGTGCGAGGACAGGGAGTGTCTGGAAAAGAAGTTTGTGGTGTTTGCATCGGAGATGGAGCTAAAGGTGCGTGAGGGGGTGCAGGCACAGAGGGTGCGCAGTGCGCGCACATGGCTTGTGAGGGGCAGGCAGGCAGGGAAGTGTGTAGCGGGGAAGTTTGTTGTGTTTGCATTGGAGATGGAGCTAAAGGTGCGTGAGGGGAGGGGTTGCTGTGCTGGCACAGGGGCGCGGGAGAGGGTGTGAGGAAGCACACACGCACACTTCAGGGTGCGAGGACAGGGAGTGTCTGGAGAAGAGGTTTGTGGTGTTTGCCTCGGAGATGGAGTAAAGGTGCGTGCGGGGAGGGGGCGCAGGCACAGAGGGGGAGGAGAAGGACTCAAAAGGGCACTCACACATACCTGGGTGTGCTTTTGAGTCGACTCAAAAGGGCACTCACACATACCTGGGTGTGCTTTTGAGTCGACTCAAAAGGGCACTCACACATACCTGGGTGTGCTTTTGAGTCGACTCAAAAGGGCACTCACACATACCTGGGTGTGCTTTTGAGTCGACTCAAAAGGGCACTCACACATACCTGGGTGTGCTTTTGAGTCGACTCAAAAGGGCACTCACACATACCTGGGTGTGCTTTTGAGTCGACTCAAAAGGGCACTCACACATACCTGGGTGTGCTTTTGAGTCGACTCAAAAGGGCACTCACACATACCTGGGTGTGCTTTTGAGTCGACTCAAAAGGGCACTCACACATACCTGGGTGTGCTTTTGAGTCGACTCAAAAGGGCACTCACACATACCTGGGTGTGCTTTTGAGTCGACTCAAAAGGGCACTCACACATACCTGGGTGTGCTTTTGAGTCGACTCAAAAGGGCACTCACACATACCTGGGTGTGCTTTTGAGTCGACTCAAAAGGGCACTCACACATACCTGGGTGTGCTTTTGAGTCGACTCAAAAGGGCACTCACACATACCTGGGTGTGCTTTTGAGTCGACTCAAAAGGGCACTCACACATACCTGGGTGTGCTTTTGAGTCGACTCAAAAGGGCACTCACACATACCTGGGTGTGCTTTTGAGTCGACTCAAAAGGGCACTCACACATACCTGGGTGTGCTTTTGAGTCGACTCAAAAGGGCACTCACACATACCTGGGTGTGCTTTTGAGTCGACTCAAAAGGGCACTCACACATACCTGGGTGTGCTTTTGAGTCGACTCAAAAGGGCACTCACACATACCTGGGTGTGCTTTTGAGTCGACTCAAAAGGGCACTCACATATACCTGGGTGTGACTCGCGAGGACAGGGAGTGCCTAGAGAAGAAATTCGTGGTGTTTGCATCGGAGATGGAGCTAAAGGTGAGAGAGGGGAGGGGGTGCAGCAGGCACAGAGGGGGAGCAAAGGTGTGTGAAGGGGGGGGGTAGTGGTGTGGTGACGGTGCGACGTTGGGTTGGGCAGGGGTGTTACGAGGGGTGTTGTTAGGAGCCTCAGAACAGAAGCGTGCTGTTGCTGATGTTCATTCGGTGCTCAGCAGCAGCACCTCACCGCCTTTCTGCAAAGCACGCTTGTCATCCTTGTCTGCCTGTTCTGTGCCGAGGTGACTTTTGAGTTTTGAGTCGACTCAAAAGAGGTGACTTTTGAGTTTTGAGTCGACTCAAAAGAGGTGACTTCTGAGTCGACTCAAAAGTCACCTTTCTGCAAAGCACGCTTGTCATGTCATCCTTGACTGTCTGTTCTGTGCCGTCCCTGTCGTTCCTCCCCTGCCCTGTTTCCTCCACACAGCAACACATCGCCCTGCAGCATGCGGGCAATATGAAGCGCGCCAAGTCTTTTGAGACGCCTCAAATGCCCCCTTTCCTTCCCTGCCCTTGTTGTTTTCTCCACACAGCAACACATCGCGCAGCAGCACGCGGGCAATATGAAGCGCGCCGAGCGCAACCGGGCACTGCAGGTGCGTGGATGGATGGGGACGAGGTGGGGACCTTTTGGGGTCGGATTGGGCACTTAGTGGAGAAGCTTTGGGGAAATGAGGAAGGATGGGGCCGGATTGGGATTGATTGCGGTCGGATGGGGCCGGATTGGGGACGTGTTGCATTGCATGTTGCAGCCAACCCCACCTGATATTTCATGCTTCCATTCCGTCTCCAATTTCTGTCGAAGTCCCTCCTCCTCTCCCCTCCCTCCTCCCCCTTCCCGTGTTCACGTTCTTCCGCTCTTCTTTCTTCTCCCTCCCACTTCCCCTCCCCTCCTTACGACCTCTTCCCTGTCTCTTATTCAGTTCCCCCTCCCCTCTCCACCCTGTCTCCCCCCCTTCTCCATTCCCTCCCCCCCTATCCCTCATGCCCACTGAAACAGATCCCGCCTTCCCAGTTATTGAGACGTCTCAAAATTTGTCCTGTTTTCCCCCTACTCCATTCCATTCCTTCCCTTCTTCCCCCTTTCCCACTGTAACAGATCCCCCCTTCCCAGTTTTTCAACTTCCCCTCATTACGCGCAGAGGGTGGCAGGGGGAGAGGCAGGGGGGGGCGACAGGGGTACGAGGGCGGGGGAGGGGGACGAGGAGGGGGACGCGGAGGGGGGTTCGGGGGCGGGATGGGGGGGATGGGGGCGGGTGTGAGTGAAGCAGCAGTGCTAGCAGCAAGTATAGAGTCGGCTCAATTGGAACGGGCTTTAAGGGAATCTGCTGCTATAGCAGGAACAGGAGAGTCTGCTGCATCTGCTGCTGGTGGTGGTCGGGAGGGGGAAGGGTCTTTTCAGCAGCAGCAGCAGCAGCAGCAGCAGCAGTCACGGAGAAGGGGAGGCGGGCCTAGTGGTGGTACTGCTGCTAACTCCTCCCCCTCCGCCTCCTCCCTATCCCCACCACTACCCTCCTCCTCTTCGTCCGCCGTCCCTGCATCAGCACCCTCTCACTTCCCCCCGCTCCTAGCCCCAGACTCGTTTCCCCATCTCTCTGCGTCCGCTGCTCCTACTCCTCCTGCCGCTGCTGCCGCCAGCAGCACCACCACCACCAGCAGTAGGGGCACGGCAATTAGCGGTGGCGTTGGTACTAGCAGCAAAGGGCCGTTAACTGAAGGCATGTCAGTGGCTGTGTACCGAGAAAAGGCCCAGCGCAACACAGCAGCAGCAGTGGTAGCAGGAGGAGCATTAGGGGCAGGCAGTGGGGGCATTACACAGGACGTTCTCTTTCCTCCCTTGCCTTCTGCCTCTGCCTCCTCTGCTGCTCCTTCTGCTCCATCCGATTCTTGGGGACCAGCGCGAGGGAACAGCAGCAGCAGCAGCAGCAGCAGCAGCGGCAGCAGTGGGAAGGCTGGTGGGAAGGGAGGGAAAGTCAAAGGCGGTCTTGGGGGGTTGAATGCGGTTCTGAGATCTGCAGGCCCGCTTGCTCCCCCCCAGCCCGTGGGTGGGGGGGGCGGGGGGCAGGCAGGGGGTGGGGGGCCGGAATGGCCAGTGCTGGGAGGGGGAGGTGGAGGGGGGAGAGGCGCAGGGGGATGGGGTGATGGGGGGGGCAGGGTGATAGGTGGTAGTAGTGGTAGCAGTGGTAGTGGAGGGGGAGGGGGAGGAGGTGGGGGAGGGGGAGGAGGAGGGGGAGTAGGGGGAGGGGGATTCGGCAGAGGGAAGACGAGCAGAGGGGGTGGGGGGGGGGGGTGCGGTACTACAGCCAGGCGCGTTTCCAAAGCTAGGGGAGGAGAGAGTGGTTAAGGATAGCTGGGAAGAGGAATACGAGGACAAGAAGCAGCAGCAGGACGAGAAAATGCCCTCCCAGCCGCCACCACAGCAGCAGCAGCAGCTGCCGCCGCAGCAGCAGAGCAGCAAAGAAAGCCGGCTGAAGCAACGGGTCGGGGACATTAGCAGTGAGGAAAAAGAAGCGCTTCGTGCAGCAAACAAGGCTCTGATAGAGGATATCAAATCCGGGCTGGGCGGCACGGGAAACAGCAGCGCTGGGTTTGAAGATTTCAAGGATAAATCCGCGAAATGGCGGGCTGGGGAGATGCTGACTGTGGTGTATTATGCGCATGTGTGCCGGCTGGGTTTGTCCCATCTGGTGCCGCGGCTGGCGATGCTTTGTCCGGATGTGGTCAAGCGAGAGGAGCTTCAGAAGGTGCATGCTGCTAGGCAGGCAGCAACTGGGGGGGCTTCAAGGTCAAGTGCTTCAAATGCCTCTGGTGCTTCTGATTCCGCTCATGCCTCGTCGCAAAGCGCGTCGTTGATAAAAGCAGACGCTGGGCGTGGGAGCGGAGGGGATGGAGGAGGGAAAAGAGACGGGGATATGGGTGCGAGGGGGGCGAGGGGTAGTAGTGGCGGAGGAAGGGGAGGGAGGGAGCATGAGAAGGGGGGAAAGGGTGCCGGGAAGGAGAAGCAGAAGCAGAAGGAGAAGGAGAAGGAGCAGGAGAGCGTGCAAGGGATGGGAGACGAAGGGAAGAAGGAATACAGATCACGAGCAGCATCGCTCTCTCACTCTCACTCTCACTCCCTGCATGCATCGATGTCTGCTCCTGAGCTCGCATCCATGGCTACCCCACCCGCTGCTTATGCTCCCTCCGCTGCCTTTCCTGCCCTCGCTCCAGCTCCCTCCCGCTTTCAAAAGCAATCAGGGGCAGGAGGAGCAGCAGGGGGAGGAGGCGGGGGAGCAAGAGGGGGAGCAGGAGCGGTGGGAGGTGGTGGGGAGTGGTCATGTAGTGTGTGTACGCTGATCAACTCTGCTAAATCGGTTCGCTGTTCTGTCTGCGGTTCTCTCCCCTCCACCGCTCCCTCTGCATCATCTCCTCTCGCTTCCTCCGCTGCTGTTGCCCCTCCTCAACCCACTCCCCCTCGACGCATCAGCAGCACCACCAGCATTTCAACCAGCGCAGCGGAAGCAGGTGCTGGAGCAGGGGAGGGGGGCGGCGCAGGGGGAGCGGGACGGGGCAAGGGGAAAGGGCGGAAGAACAAGGGGGTGACGGTGCGACTGGGTGACGGGTCCGCTGCTGCATTGTTTGCTCGCCTGGATGGGACAGAACCTCAGGGCAGTCCCAATTCTTGGGCTGACGCCGCTGGTCGACGCTAGAGTTTTGAGTCAGACTCAAGGCACAGCACAGCACACCCGAGCAAGGGCGTGACAGTGCGGCTGAGCGACAGGTCTGCTGCTGCGTTGTTTCCGTGCCTGGATGGGACAGAGTCCCAGGGAAGTCCCAACTCCTGGGCTGATCCCGCTGGTAGACATTGAGTTTGAGTCAGATTTTGTTATCGTACATGCTGCCACCGACCTCTTGCATGTGGATGAAGGGCACGAGCAATTTAAGGACCATTTGAGAGATAGTGTTCGTGCACCAAGGTGTGGGTTGAATTTGGCTATGTTGTTTTTTGGACCATGATGCATTGATGGCCCACGGAACAACGAGAAAGTAATACTCTTCACGTATCAGGAGCGGGGTTAGTGCGTAGGTGTCAAATGTTGAAGACAACAGAGGGAATACCGTATCATATGAGGCTGAATGAGATCAATTAGGCATTTGATAGCGCTGAATGTATTGTAATGAAATATGAAATTTCAGGTTTTTCTGTGTTCGCTGCTTCACCCATACCCGAAAGCCTCACCCAAGTGCTGCTAATTCAAAGGACAAAAGCGTCCACCGTTTCCGCGTTGTTGCAGAATCGCACGATCGCATCTCATGCTGGGCTTGGAGTCCACTGATTTCCGTCGAGCAGGGGATTCGTTTTGGCCTTCTGTAGGAAAGTGGTGGCTGTTGTGATTGACGCGCCAACAACCTCCCGCTGCGGCTTGGAATGGGCACCACTAAAATATCTGTGGATGTATGACAGGTACACCTTTATTCTGGGCTTCCGCACAACTGGGAGCCCTGGCTACAGTGCGTACTGCTGCTAGGACCCTAGCAATCTGGTGCTTGGAGCCGAACCCGAGGTAGGTGGTAAGGAATGGCATACAACGGCATATAAAAGTGAAACTTTGCTTTTGCGTACGGTTGAGTACGGCGGATGTGCTGACATGGGACGCATTGATGTTATTACACCCAATTTTTCGTTTACATCACCAAGCGCGTTTCGGTTGAAGGTGCTTGTCATTTTTGCCCGGTGCTTTTAACGTCTGCGAGTCACATTTCCCTGCGTATTGCCGTCCCTTGCTCCCAAAATGTGGCTATAAATACGTTTTTGCAACTGTAGGCCGGCCTGACCTAATCATGACTAATAAATTTGGCATAGTCTTTAGCGCGAATGCGTGTAACTGTAGTGCCCTGCCACCAATTTTCTTCAACGTTTAGCAATTCAATGCTGAACTGACCACGCGTGTGAATCGATTCTATGTGACATAAACGCATCGCTCCCAACCTTCTATGTGAACGTACCGAGCTGGTGGCGCAATCGCGGGTGCATCAAACGAGTAAGTTGGTGTACAACCGGTCTATTCATGTGGCGAAGGTCAGTGTGGCGAGAATAGGGTGTACAACCGTGGATGTACGTATCCAACAAAAATGAACCACTAGAATATCTGTTGTACAGTCGATGCTCACCTTTATCTGTGTCCAAAGTTATCCCACCCAGAAAAACAGTCGCTCGCGAACGTTTTTGCCCGTGAGTGACTGAATTGAGCATTGGGTAGAGTCACCAAGTTGCAGAAGGGCGACGTCTACAGTTCAGGGATTGCCCGTCGCATAAGTCATTGCATACGTTATCTTAAAGGGGGGGGTGCAACTTCTTAGGAACAGTATTAGGACAAACATGGAGTGTGTATAACGAGACCCTTATTGGATGAAAAAAAAGAAATCTTAGAAAAGACAAACTTCTCGCCACAGATCTGCCTGGGACAACCAAGTTCCAAGCTACAATCCTCTGAAGTTGAAGCTGATAGTTGGGCCACGGCTTTAAAAGGGTTGACCGAGTTATAGCAACTCGAGGAAGGTCCCAATTTCACTTTACAATCCCATTTTTGCCCGTGGCGACGTGGCGAAGATCGACAAAATGCTTGGTGCAAGTTGCAGTCCATGTCCACCCACTTAACTGGTATTCGTGTAATGAGCACCGACTGTACTAAAAACGGAAGAGAATGTGTTCGTATTGCTGTAATGTGCTGGTTTCATTTGCGCTGCAAGACGTAGCACTTCTGTTTAGAATGAAGACGTAGATGTACACATGATGCCCGACCAGTGCACGCGAATTTGCCATGCACCGGATGGAAACGCTGCCCCCGAGCTCGAAACCCCTGCTTGCTGCTCCCACAGTACAAGCACCTGGATGGCTGGATACAGTACACGCGCCTCGGCCACCAAGGCACGTGCAGACCAGAACAAAGCAGGCCGACCAAGGTTTGCCTTTTTTCTAGGCCATAAGTCAGGCAGGCGAAATGAATGGACGAAACGGCCGTGGTTTCGTCCACGCATTCGCCCAACTGCCCCGCCACCTAAGCAGGGTTCATCGTGCATGTAACAGAGATATTGGCAAATTCTCGGTGCCACGTGTACTCTGCACCTTTGGGGTACTAGCCCATTATCAGCCAGGCGTTGTTCGCCTACCCCACGTCAGTCATTTGATATTGTGCTTACCAAACCACACGATAAAAAATGCAAGCCTGGTGCATGGAACGAGCACCATCCACACGTATGGGACAAGCCACAAAGAACAAGCCCCAGCATTGCCCTTGCGTGCCCGCCATCTGAAGTTAAAATCCGAACAATGAATTCAATAACTCACCATTCTCACACTCCCCAGCCTCTCAAAATGGCCCGTTTTAATCGGCGGGAACAGCTCCCACTCCATATCAAGCGCGCTATTTGCGCGCACCACGTCGAAAACCCCCGCCTGCGTCATGTTGACCTGGCGAGGTGGTGTTACTCTCAGTACGGCTTGCGCCCTGATCGCTCCACTGTCGGGCGCATTTTGAAGAGCGCGGAGCGATGGGCTGTCACGGCAACCGGCGACAACCAAGTGCGCCGTAGAGGTGGCGCATGGCCTGAGCTGGAGCAGGCCATGGCGCGGTGGATTGCAAACGCGGGGCCCGCCGGCGTGCCGCTTACCGTGCAGACCATCCGCGACCATGTCGCGACCATGGCGCGGAACATGGGCATTCCGCCCACATTCCGCTGCTCCATCGGCTGGGTGCGCCGTGCTTTGCGGCGCCAGGGGGTGAGGTGCCGTGCAGCACAAGGCGAGGCGGCTAGCGCGGACATGGCCGCCGTGCGCGACGCCCGGGAGAAGCTTCCGCAACTCCTCACTCATCTCGGCGTCACCCCGCGGGACACATTCAACCTGGACGAGACCGCGCTATGGCTCTCCGTGCTCCCTAGGCGCACGTACAGCAACGGCCGCATACCAGGCCGCAAAGTTTCCAAGGACCGCCTGACCGTCGCATTCCTCGTGAATGCGGACGGAAGCCACGTTTTCCGCCCGCTTGTGATCAGTAAGGCGAAGCGGCCCCACGACTTCCGCCCGGACTATGACCCCGAAGCCCTCTGCTACTGGCGGCATAACGCGAAAGGTTGGATGACGTCGCCGGTAAGTTTGTAATATGTATGGGGTTGCTGGCGTATTTTCAAACTTCGAGTGCGTGAATGTCGCGGAATATGCATGTGCTAACTATGTTTCCTCTGCACGACGCCTTCACCTCCCTTGCCCGCCCCCAGTTATTCACTCATTTCATATCGCAGCTCAATGCTGCGATGTACGCCGAAGGCCGCAAGATCGTAGTGTTGCTCGACAACGCTAGCAGCCACATGCTCAGGAGCCAGCACGCATGGAGCGAGATCGTCTGCGGCATGCGGACTACGTGCATGAGCAACGTGCGGCTCGTATTCCTGCCGCCCAACACCACCGCATTCACACAGCCGCTCGACCAGGGCATCATCGCCACCGCCAAGGCCCGCTACCGCCAGCACTGGTTGCGGGCCTTTTCGGGTTTGTGGAACGCCGACGACGCGACAAGCGCCGTCGCGCGGTACCGCCCGAACCTGCGCGACGTCCTGGGGTGGTTGTCGGACGCGTGGACATCCGTCGGTGCGCGCACCATCCAGCGGTGCTGGTGGCGCACGGGGTGTCTTCCGCTCTCGTGGTCCTTGGAGTTGCCACACGTTCACGACGACGAACCTATCCCTCACTTCTATCCCGACATTGAGCTCGACGCTGACATCGACGATGTCGGCACGCTCATCAGTGGGCTCGGCCTCGGGAACGGTGCGATGACGGCCGCCGAGTAGGTCGCCGTCGACGATGGCGAGCCAACGTGCGCCGAAGGCGCTGCGGGAGCGCCCACCACAGAGCCGGAGGCGGGCCTGGTGGTGGAGCTCTGGGAGGCGCCGACGACCATGCAGGCCGTCTACGACGACGCTGACCCCGTTGGCCGCGAAGCCCGGCGCACTGCTCGGGCGGCATGCGAGATGCTCATCGGATATGCTCGGGCCACCCGCATCACGCCGCGCGATCTCTGCCATCTATTTGATATCCGCAACCCCATCATTATCGCGCGGATGGAGCGGGTGAGCCCGTCATTCAACCTCAACTTGGCCCCTCAGCCCGTCCCCACCCGCGACGCAACTCCCACGCCCGAGACCCCTCGTCTGCGCGGCCGTGTGCTGCCTGGCTGGATGACCCAGCCGTCCCGCCGTCAGCAGCTGCTTGACGCCGGTGTGGGCGCCGTGATGGACGGCTATGTGGATGCGGCTGAGTGGATGCGTCTGTGAGGGGTGGTGGAGCAGTTTCACTTAGGTGTCGAAGGCATTTTGCCCGGCACAAGTGTTCACACCTTATGCCCATTTGTGCGTGTTTCACTTTGTGTATTGAATGAAGGTGAGGGGCCAGGTGGGGGATGTTGATTGGACGATGGTTGTGTTTTGCATGTTTTGTACTAGGGGGAACAATTGATGAAGATGCTTGTTTCATTACTATTGGCTCCGCTTAGTAACCCTGAACACACAAGGACAAGAGCTGCGAACCCTTACAGTTGCAAGTCAGACAAATTGGGTGGTTACCATGTGCAGTTTTGAAGCACGCTAGACGCCTGATGAAACGAACGAACCTCACGCGAAATGCAGGTTTAGCTTGCGGACCCCCTTAACAAGGCAACCGGGAGGGGCTCTAACGGGCATTAGCTGTAGTAATTTCCGAATGATAGATTCCAGAGTCCAGACTCACCCAGCTTAGATATTTTTTCGCTCCACCCAGCACGCGAACGATTTATTTTTTTGCTCCACCCAGCAGGCGAACGATTCGCTTTTGGCGTATGGCTTGTGAGCCATCAGATTTTCGACGTGATGATTATTCGCTATTCGTCGCACATCGTCCGCGTCTCCTCCTTTCGTTGGGTCGTCGTGACGTGGAATCTCACACCCCTACTCCACCACCAAGTCTCGCTTGACAACTGGCTCCACTTGGCGAACATTCTTGTACACCCTGTTTCGCGCTAGCAGAGCATCTGTTTGCAGAACGTGCACTGGTTGTAGAACGTCACCACGTTTGAAATGGTCTTATCACCGACGGTACAAGCACATTCACAAGAAAGCGGTTAGCTAGGATGCTGCATGGTAAAGAACACTAACCAAGCGTTTCAAAGCGGTTGAAAAGGGTATACAGCGATAAAGAAAATTTTTGCCCCCAGTACCACTCCGTCAGCTGGTGCGGCTTTGCCCGCAGGTTTCAGCCATACGGTTTATGGCACCTGACCGCACTGTAGCAGCGAGTCGCGCAAGGTGAGAGGGTCGAGAAACAGGGTGTACGTCCAACAGAAGTAGCCTATCAGCCGCAGGCACAATCTCTTGCTCCGTTGGTGGTTCTCGCAGTGAGTGGTTCACATCACATGAATCTCCAGCAACAATATCTTCGTCCAACGTTTTTCCTTCCCGTGGATGACGGGAGTCTTAGGGTATATATTTGAGACACCTCTGCTTAAAGAGCAAAATATTTGGCTATGAAACTAAATACGTCCTCAAACACTGGTGTTTAGGGTGTGGTTGGACGTGCCAGCACAGCAAGTGCCAGCAAGTGCCAGCTCGCTTTTAGACTCTGCTGCTTTCATTCTGGCTATTGTACACCCTTTTTCACTTCAACTCCAATCCCCGAAAGTGCAACCAGCACAGTAAATGACGCACAAGACGAACGACTTCACTAGCAGCAACTCACCACGCCACCCACGCGAAACCCCTTCCTTTCTCTTCTATGCTCTCTTCTGCCTCTCTCTCCTCTCTTCTCCAGCGGTCTATTTCACTGTGCTCATATTGTGACATGCAATACCACCATCACCAAGATTCCAAGCAGCAGTATTTCCATCACCCCGTTCTCATCCTCCATTCCGCTCAGTCCTCTCTTTCTTAGTCAGCGTCTACCTTATCCACTCTTATCTCTTCCCGAGTGGTGCCCGTCGTCCCATTCCGTGTTCATCATCTCCTCTCGGCTCGTCTCTGCTGGCGCATGGCTGCTTACTGTTAGCAACAGTATTATCTAGGGAAACCGCTTTCTCTATTCGTGGATCCACCAATTCTTCTTCTATTCCACTCGCTGACACATTCTAATAAAAAAAGACTTCATGGCTTCCCAAGTTGCGGTGGCTGCGCATCTCCCGGCCTTGACACACGCAGTACGTGCCGAGGATCCCGCTTCGGAGCTTCTCCAACTTCAAGAAGACGATGATTGGCTGCCCACCTACCTCGCCTCCACCTGCTACGGCAAGGACCCGCGCCTAAGCTCCGCCGTCAACAGACTCGCCACCGGACTTGGCGGCGGCGTATCGCCGTTCGCTCCTTCTCGCGCGTCCGCCGCGGCCTACGATAACAAACCTAACCTTGACGCTGGCGGCGCTTCCACTCCGCGCCGCGTATCCCTCCCGTCCCGCACAACGTGGCATGGCACCACCGCCGCCGCCACATCCGCCGTCACGACCGTTGCCAACGCGAACCGTTCAGAAGAATTCAAGTTCAGCATGATGCAGCCCGCTCTCTCGTCGCTTCAGGCCCCGTCAACCACCGGCGTTACTACAACCGGCGAATCTGCGCTGTCCTTCATGATCGCCGCCGGCGGAGTTGACATGAAGATAAAGTCATCGTGCGACCACGACGGTGTGTTAGCATCATCACCTGGGTCAGAGCATCAAACTCAGAGTTTGATGAGTCATTACAATGATGCGTTGGAGGGTAACACCGTGACGGTCGCCGCGTTTCAAGAGGCCTCCGCCACTATGGCTAATAGTAGCACTAATATTAGGAGTCCCGGCGGCATTTTCCGGTCCCTGAGACCTGCATCTATTGGTAACGCCGCCGATCTGTCGCTGCCGCACTCAATGCGACAAAGTTTTTCGCAAAGCGACGCCGGCGACCGCGAGGAAGATTCGCCGAGCGAGGACTTCCACTCGTGGGTTGCGACGTCGCAGTGTCGCGCGGAACGGAGACGCGGCGGAAGCGCAGCGAGGAAAGCGGCGGGGAAAGCGACCGGGAAAGCCGCGCAGCCGGGAGAGGCTTCACGGTCACCCTTCACGGCCGGAGCAGCTGCAGCGGCAGCGGCTGCGGCTGCGGCTGCGGCGATCGCTGCGATGCCGGCAGAGGCGCAGCAAGAAGACGAAAAACTCGGCACCGGAAGTGCGAGGCCCCGTTGCGGTGCTGCTCGTAATACCTCTACTGTAACTACTACTACGAATGCCACCGTGACGGGCAGAAGCAGCGCTTCTCTTAGCACCAGCGGGAGGCGCATGTCGATAAACAGCCGTCGACGAAATGCCATGGATTATTCCGAGCTTGACGCTGTGCGAGAACGGTAAGGGCCCACCCCCTTTACTCCCCTTTCTTTAATGTGTCTATTTGTGTGTTTCTTTTTTTTTTTTTAATGATTTGACAGCACGTTTTAGTGGACTCGCTTTTCTGATGTTTCCCCTGCGTTTCCTCTCGCGTGCGCTCTGTTTCCCTCCCCAACCCCAGGCTCAAGCAGGCAGCGAGCATGTGGGCCATCGCTACTCCAGACTGCGATGAGGACGATGGTGCTGACAGCCAGAGCAGCGATGGCGATAGCGACGTCGGCGACGCTACTAGCGACGCCGGCGACAATGCTACTAGCGACGGCAGGGCCCTATGGGGGAGCAGCAGCGAGGAGACTTCTTCTGGTGCTGGGACGTCAGGCGAAGAGTCGCCTGCGGAGCAGATCTGCGAGCGCGCAGGCCTCCGCAAATCAGTGGACCAGCAACAGCAGCGGAAGGAGCAGCAGCAGCAGGGATTGGGGATGACCCAGAGACGGAACGCGAGTGCGTTGTGGCAGTTGCTGCTGCCGGGAGTAAGGCGATAGCACGGCACGGGCGATGATCGCTCAAACGCCATCACAATACCCTATGCCTAAAACTGGGAGGAGTGGGAGGGATCCGGCTCTCGTTCTCATAACGGAGGTAATCTTGTCGGGCTACAACAGCATTTGAAAACATTCTTTGGCAGACTTCATACGGTACAAGGAATATCAGCAGATTATAACTGTTAAGTCAGGTCTGGACCTTGAAGATGTTCTGTATCACTAGATATTACATGTTTCCTTTATACCGTACCATGATACGGTAGTAGATTCTATTCACCCGTCAGATGTGATTTTTCCTACTCGGCATAATACAACCCCATACTGCCCATACGAAGTGAGGAATTTACACCACACAGAACCACATAATATAACCCCATACAGTCCGTACGAGGGACTTACACCACATAGAACCATAAAGGTCAGTCATTCAAGATTGTTGTTCATGTCACTTCTGGCGTGTAGCCCACAGCCAATAGTGCAAAGGAGGCAAGATTAGATAAAGGGATACAAGAATCTCAACGGACGCTGTAAAAATTTGACTAACTGCACATTTGCTAGTAAGGACACCACACACATCCCGGGAAGGCAAGCAAGCAGGCAAGAAGTGAAGTCAGGCAGGCAGGCAAGGCAAGCATGCACACAGCACTGTGCCAGCTACCACATATTCGCCATCCGACTAGACTAGATGTGCAGGGCCGCACAGCCCACCACAGCAGATGCCAGTTCCATGTTACTAACCTCCCAGGTCAATTTCCAGTCCTTCTCCCGCACACCTCCACCCATGCCCCCGCACCCCCCACCACCACCACCACCGCCACCGCTGCCGCCACAGCCAGCACTACCCAGACCTACACCCCACCCTTCCACCTTACACTCCCCATCCGCCTCCTCCCACTCCCGCCTGCTTACCCCCACCCCACCACACCTCCCAGATCCGCCCCAGGAGATTTTCAGCACATGCATCCCATTCACCGGCTTAACCTTTTTCATACAGAACCCTACCCGCTGCACCAGCGCCCCTTCCGTCACCACGAAAACCCTCCGCCCGGCAGCCGCCACGTGGCACGCGGACACTGCTCCAGCCCACCCCAATTCCCGGGCTACAGGCACCTGCGCCACCACCACCCACTCCCGCGAGTCTACGTTCAGCCAGGCCACATCTACCTCCCCCAGTCCCAGCCTCCGCCTCTCCGCGCTCACGCACAGCAACCCCACGCCGTCAACCGCTGCTACTGCGCCGCGGCACCACCCCTCCGTGGGCCCTCGGATTAGCCCTACTTGCATCCATTCGTCCGTCGCGAGATCGTACAGATCTAGCCGTTCAATTCGCCCCGCGTCGTCGTGCGACGAGCGGGAGAAGACGAAGAGGTGCCCGCCGAGCACGGCCGTTGCAGACAGGCGCGACGACGGGTCGAAGCCCGCCGGCATTCGCGCGAATCGCCGCCACGTGGCGTGCACAGGCGCGGCCGGGGCGTTCCCGGCCGTGCTGCGGGTGCTACTGTCGCTACTGCTGCTACTGCCACCGCCGCCGCCGCCGCCGCTGCTGTTTCTACCGCCATCGGGAGCAGTCGCGGCGGCGGCAGCGTGTAACCCATAGCCGTTCCACTCCCCACTATGACCAGCCTGGTCAAACTCCCCTAAGAAACTGCCACAAGCCATGGCAGCAGCCCCAACGCCAATCCCGGCGGCAATCCCGGCGCAATCTCCGGCAGAAGCACGACCTGTCGTTTCTACAGCGCTTCCCGCCACGTCGCACGAGAGGACATTATCCAGACTGAGCGCCTCGCCCACCCACATGCGCCCCTCTCCATCCAACTCCGCGTCTCCGCCGCTCATCCACCTATCCTCGCTCCCCCTCAGCCCCTCCAATCGACCATCGCCACGTGGCGTCGTTGCGTAGCTGCCCACGGGATCCGACGAGCCGCCTAGCGCCAGTAGTCGGCAACCGCCTCCACCGCCGCCGCCGCAGCCGGAAGCGCTATCAGTGTTGGCGCTTCTTCCGCTGGTACCGAGGGATGAGGCGGCAGCAGCGGGTGCGGGGAGGACTACGGCGGCGTTAAGATTAACGCGGCAGCGCGACATGTCAGCGAGCTGCTGCCAGCGACCCGAGCCCAGGTCCAAGCACCACACGTGCGGCATGCGCTCCGCTAGAGAGGAAGTGCCGCCCAAGCGCGGGGAGAAGCGGTACTCTCCGCCGAGCACGAACAAAGATGGTCGCGCCGGTTGCGGCGCGGTTCGCGCACCCGCAGCCCCTCCCCGCGCCGATGCTCTTGGTGCTGCTCGCGCTGCTGTTACCACCGCAATCGGCGTTCCTGCTGCTCCTACCGCCGCTGATGATCCTCCGGCCGCCAGACCCTTCATCCCAGCCGCAATCGGCGCTGCTGCTACCGACGCGCCGACGGCCGTACAGCAGAAGCCCTCGAAGGCATGCGGCGCGTACGCGCGGCCCGCGAAAAGCGGCGGCAGGCGCATCCACGCGTCGAGCTGCGGATCCCACACGTGGAAGACAAGCGCGGGTTCCCCCGCGCTGCTGGTCCAGAGGCCCGTGCAGAGGAGTAAAAGATCGCCATGGCGAATCGCGTGCGCCGCGCGTAAGGACCAGGGGAGCGGGGAGGAGAAGAAGGCGCGCCAGCTCCGGCAGACGGCGGAAGCGGGGAGGTGGGAGAAGAAGGGGAGGCGCGCGAGGCAGAGCGACGCGACGTCGTCGGGAAGACCTGGGAGGAGGTCTGTGGGATCACGCGCCATGGCGGAGAGAACGGCGGGGAGGAAGGGGTGTGCGGCGCGAGTAAGGAGCGAGTCGAGCGCGCACCGGAAATGGCTGCTAGATCATCTGGTGAGTGCGTGAGGGGATCTGGTAAGGTGTTTGGCTGCGCAGAGCTCGAACGCAAGCGACATACTTGAGAGGCCAAACCCCAGTCGTCTCACGCAAGGATAAAAGAGGAGACTGGGGAAAGGAACCAATTCGAGGTGAGTGGGACGAATTGAGAATGGATGTTCCCGAAGTAATGGATAATGTTGAGGAAGAAGAGGAAGAAGGGTTGACGTGGGAAAGCAAGACTTGGAAGGGTGGTTGGGAAAGAAAGTGATGGGCCAGCACGACACGATCGAAGAGGTAACCAGGCCTTACAAGCTCGCCTAGTAATCTGTGTTGATGTGACAGGTGTGACAAGGAGCGCTGTCCAATCCACTAACGATTGCGGTTGGGAGTGGCCTGAGTTGGTGCCGGGTTATTGGATACACGTCAGCCAGTGGGGATGGTGCTTCATTGGGAACGTGGGTGGTGCTTCATCGGTTTGTCAAAAGCGACGGAAATAATATCTTCCTAGCCACTCGCTGTAGTGAAGGAAGCTTTTGCAAGCAGCGCGGTTCTGGTGCAGAACGTGAAATCATACGAGCAGTCTTTTAGGGCGTGTGTCTTTCGGAGTGTGGTAAAGTTCATGTTTTTCCTCGACTTTATGCATTTGAACCTTGGTCGACCTGTAGTCGACTATCCCAAACATTTTTCCTTTTCGCTTCTCATGTTTTCCTTATTTTTTCACAATAAGCACATGAGCTGAGGAACACACCAGGGCCTCAGATTGGTTTCGGGCTAGGCTGAAAGATCAGAGTTGGTACAAAATTCTATGCTGAAAAACAGAGAAATCAGCCTATTTTATGCCATTTTACACTACAAATGTAGTAAAAAATCATGTTTCTTCCCAAAAAAAAGCTGAAAATTCAGCCTCAATTCTGAAAAATGTCTGAAATCTCAGCCTTTTTTACCTAAATCAGCCTTTTTTCGCTGACTTCTGAGGCCCTGGAACACACGATTGGAAAAAAATCGAAAGCGAGGTTGACCCCAGTTCAGTGTCCTTCTGTTTTCTCGAACATTTTGCATGGACACACGAACCTCAAAAACAGTGTTGAGCGAAATTACAGAAGAAGGTTACCAGTATAAGGATGACCTTTTTCCGAACGTCTACACCAAAAGACACGCCAGTATCCGAGTTAGGAAGACAGGCTAGGTAGGGTGGAGAAACATTCTTTATATAGTCAGCCTAGTAAATTATGCGTGTTTTGGCTAATAACGAAGATATCATAGGAACACTTCTCAACGTTTCCACGCTGCCCGAAGACAACGATATCCATGTGCACTGTGCATCAGTCGAGTAAGCGTCACATGGTGCGAGATGAATTGACACACGGAATCCTCCACAAGGAATCGACAGGTAGGGATGACCGGAATCCCCCGACAACGCTTTCAACCGCCAAACCAGGCTGGTCACAGTCCCATGCTTCCCTTCCTTCTGTTGCACCACTCTTCCACGACGCCCTTTCAATCGACCCCAGCCCCTTTTGCCTCGCACGGGTGCACAATTGCTAGAGCGGATGATCCGAATCATAGTGTATTTCCAGTTCGTCTCTCCGTTCTCTTCCAGACCTGGAATTGACGCCAACCTGAAACCTTCAACCCGAATCCTCCTGAACAACACTCATAATATATCAAGCATTCCTGCTAATGCTTCTACTTCGCCGAAAGAGTGCCCAATTTTCTACGCCGCGTGCCTCTGTCGCAGCTTTCCGCCATCCCCAGACCCAACCCAACCCATCCCGTTTTCCCTGAAGTCCCGTTCCGCGCGCCACTCTCATAACACTCAGTTGCTTCAAGTCCACAACTTTTCCGTTCTGAATCACCGTCGTCCTCCTGATTGCTGTCGGTAGTTGGTTGTCCGCCTACTGTACAGTAACACTGTAGCCTTTTCCAGGTACGGGGGAGAGGAGGGGGGGACGTTCGATCGGGGTCAGGAGAATCGAGAAAAGAGCGGCACTAAAGCGGGCGCTTCCGTCAGCCACGCAAACGGACAAATTCGTCCGTCACAGTCACCAACCTCCCCGTCCCAATTCACACACAACCACACAAACCAACTTCTCACTCACTCACACTCGCAAACCCGCGAACTCACAACTCACACCACCACAAAACCAAGAATCACCACCGCCAGCCACCTCGATTGTGCCGCATTCCACGCCCGCGCATCCGCAGTGTACCTCAGTTCGTTCTTGCCGTTGTGATTGCTTTGTCTTGTGACTCACTGAGGGCGTGTCCCCTCCCTCGATCGATCGCGCGATCGCTGTGAAAACCGATCGGGCACACCGATCGCAGGATTGGGGTGGGATTGGTAGGAGGTGACAACAGCGGATCGATCTCGATCCCTGGGTGACAGATTCGAGAATACAAGGGGCAAAAAACCCTCGATCCTTCTAAAGCCGAGATCGGTGTGGCCACGAGGGCACATCGATCGTCACAGCGGAGGAGACAAAATCGTTGGGCACAAGTTACTGCAGATTCGCAAGCCTTCTCGTGATCTGGTTACCCTGTCAATTGCGACATTGTAGCTGTCCCTCGATCGATCGAGGGCAGGATCGATCGAGGGAGGGGACGCGCCCTAAATCATAACTTAAGATGGCACCTGAATTATGCTTCACTAGTCACGAGGAGCAGTGCTAGGTTAGCTTAGGCTCCTGCTTTCACTATGTCTCACCTTAGCTGCACCATTCCCTTGGCAAGACACGCGGCGGCACGCCGGCATGCGGAAAACGAGTTTAATGGCGCTAACCGACGGATGGGGGGAGCGAATGAGTGGATTCTGGGCGAGACTGAACACGATCCGGAAAGTTCATCGATCACAGAGCTATGGCGGCGAAGCGTTGGCGGCGCCGCATCAGGCTCCAGTGAGAGAGGCGGCTCGAGTGACACTAACGAAGAAATGAACAGTGTAGGCCGCAAGGCGCGCGGCCTTCACGACGCCAGAAATGGATCGAGTTTTAATGGCGGGTCAAAAGGAAGAAGCAGACGAACGTCGAGTAAATCTGGATGGAGTAATACGTCGCTAGAGGCGGCGTCAGATGTGGCGTCAGAGGCGGAAAGGTCGAGCTCGAGCGTCATTACGTCCCGGCGCCGCTTGCCGAACTTAACCATTCAGATTCCCGTTAATGACTACTCCAGTACCGTCACAGAGATTGTAACTAATTCTGCCGACCAAGAACGCGCGAAAGTATCGGGCGACCAGCCTCGCGTCGCAGGCGACGCTGCGCGACGTCGCGCGGGCGACGGGGCGGGCGGGGCGGAAAGGAGGCCTCGGCAAGAGGTGCGCGGGTATGGAAGCAGCGGCGGAAGCGGAAGGAGAAGGAGCAGCAGAATGGCGGGGGAGGAGGGCGGGGAGGAAGACAGGACGGGGAAGGCAGGTCCGACCGAGGCTCACATACGACAGACAGGCGAGCGGGCGGAGAGGGCGGAGCGGGCGGAGAGAACGGCGGAGAAGTTTGAGCGGGCGGAGAATGGCGGAAGGGGTGATGCGGCATTGAGGGACGAGTCTGCCGGTGCGGGGAGGGACATTTCGAGTGGGGGGGGAACAGCGGAGAGAGCGGGGAGAGGAGTCGGCGGGGGGTGCGGAGAGTCGGGGGAAGAGGAGGGCATGTATGCGGTCGTGCGGCTGATGCGGCGGCGGTTGGGGGAGGAGAAGGAGCGGCGCGAGGCGGCGGAGCGCGAGAAGGAGGTGTGGGAGCGGCGGTGGGAGGAGGCGGAGAAGGAGGCGCGGCGGTGGCGGCGGAAAGTGCAGCGCGCGGAGGAGTTGGCGGAGGCGATGAGCGCGGAGAGGGGAAGACTGGCGGGTGAGTGAGTGCTTCAGTGCGGGAGTGCCGTGCCGCCGTGACGGCGAGCTTCGCGCGCGCGGCGGCCACGTGGTTTACGTACGGCACACAGAAGTCCCACAGCCCTTTTTAATTTCGAATTTCGCGCCTTCTTGCAAGAATAGAATTCCGCGCAAGCAATCCTCTTCTTCGTCTCTATCCTCGTACTCCATCCGGCTTACGACTTATCCGCCGTTTCCCGGCTCCTCTCCCTCCCCCCCCCCTCCTGCCCCACCGCAACCCTTCTCCTCTTCCGTCCCTACCTCCTCTCTCGCCCTCCCCTTCCGCTTCCCCCTTCCTCTTTCCCTTTCCGCGCACCTCACCCCTCCCCACCCCCAGGCGACCTCATGCGCGCGCTGGAGCAGGCGGAGCGCGCAGTGGCGGCAGTGGCGCAGGCAGAGGAGGACCGTGCGCACCTGGAAGTCGCGGCGGGGGAGGCGGAGAAAGAGCTCCGCCTTCTCCGCGCGCAGTGCTCGCAGCTCAAATCCGACCTCCGCCAGACGCGCGCCGTTCCCCCCGCGCCCCCGTCCTCCACCACCACCTCCTCCTCCTGCTCCTTCCCCTCTTCCTCCTTCTCCTCCTCCTCCTCCTCTACCTCCTCTCACTCCTGCAACGCAGGCTCTCGTTCCATGCGCTCCTCTCAATCCCATCGCAAGCAGCATCTCCCCACATCCACCCCTCCTTTGGTCCGCTGGAGCAGCCTCGGAAGCCGCCTCCCCGCTCTCCCCTCCTCCACTCTTCCCTCCTCTTCCTCCTCCTCCTCCTCCTCTTCCTCCGCGTGCCTCCCCCAACCCCCTGTGAAATCCTCAGCCTTCCCGGTCTCTCTTACAGAACCCCCGCTTCCGGCTGCTGCTTTTCCAGGCAATCAAGGCAGCAGCAGTAAGGGGGCGGATAGCCGCGAGTGTTGCGCGTGTGGGGCGGATGCTGGGGGGGAGGATGTACTGCTGGCTTTAAGGGGGGTGCGGCGGGAGAAGCAGGCTCTGCAGCAGCGCGTGTACGAGCTTCAGCAAAAGCTGATGGACCAACAGGCCGTTGTGAGCAAACAGGAGGAACGGCTAGCGAGAGCAGAGAGCGAGCGCGAGGAGTGGCGGGAGCAGGCCGGGGAGGTGGAGAGGGGCCGAGAGCGGTGCGTGCAGGTGCTGCGGGAGGAGCAGCAGGCGGTGCAGCAGCGGCTGGCTGCAGCAGAGGAGAAGCGGGTTGCAGCAGAGGCGGCAGCAAGGCAGGCAGAGGGGAGGGTAGTGATGCTCGCAAGACAAGTGGCGGGAATGGCAGCAGCTGCAGCGGCTGCTGGTGCTGGTGGTGGTGGTGGGGGTGGGGGGGGAAGAGGGGGCGGTAGTGGGGGGATGGCTAGTTCTGGTGTTGGGAAGTGGGAGGCGCAGGGGGGAGGGAGGACCGAGAGGGGCGCGAGGGAAGGGGCTGGGTTTGGCGAGGGGGAGAGGATGGGGGGGGATCAGGAGGGAGGGGTGGGAAGCTGGCAGCGGCAGGGGCAGCAGGGGCAGCAGGGGCAGGAGAGGGTTGGTCAAGGGGACGGTCAGTTGGGGCCGCGTTCAACTACAATGGATGTGCACAGGAGGTGTGTGTGTGTGTGTGAGGAGGAGGGACGGTGGGGTGTGTGGGGTTGAAAGGGGAAACGGGAGTGTGCGGGGGTCGGGTCGGGTGTGTGGGGAGGGGAGGAGTAAGGGGAACGGGAGTGTGGGGGAACGGGAGTGTGGGGGAACGGGAGTGTGGGGGAACGGTAGTGTTGCGTGCCTCACGTTGGATATGCAGTGGTGTCTCTTGAAACGTCTGAAAAGTTGTCAAACGACAGAATCATCAGCGTCAAAATCAGCGTCAGCATCAGCGTCAACATCAGCATCAACAACATTCCTTTCTATGTCGCACGCAACCCCTTTGCTTTGAGAAGATCCCTGCGTAGCTCCATGTCCCAAATTGCATTCCTCGCTCTCTCTTTATTTCCCTTCCTCTTCCCCCTCTCTCTCTCACTTCCCCTCACAACGCCCCTCCCAACACAGAAGCCCCAGTCGCTCCTACCACCGATCGCGCTCCTCTCGCGCGCGGCCCCTCGCACAAGCACTCGTTTCCTCCGACAATTCAGCAGCATCCGGATCTCTCTCCCTCTCTGTCTCTGCTGCCGGCAACAGCTCTGTAGACAATGCCTCAGTCGATGGTACCTCCTACTCTTACTCTTGCTGCAGTACCGTCACAGCCACTCATCCCTTCTCCACTAACTCCTCCTCCCGCCCGCCCACGCCGCCCTCCCGCCCCTCCACACCTCCCCCGTCCTCCTCCCCTCCCACCTCCTCCCTCACCTCCATGTTCCTCTCACATCTCTTCTCCTGGACCTCTCCTTCCCCTTCCCCTGCTACTTCCCCCAGTCTCTCCCCCGCCCCTTCCCCTGCTCCGTCCCCCGAGCGCCCTCCTGATCGACCCAAGAGTTTGCTTACGGGTAGCCGCAGCAGCAATGGCAGGAGGGGCGGGGGGGATGGGAGGGCTGCTGTTGCAGGGGTAGCGGGGAGGGCGGTGAGAGGGGGGGGGTGGGCAGCAGCAGGGGCTGGGGCAAAGGCAGGGGCAGGGGCAGGAGTGGGAGCGGGAGGGGGAGCAGGAGGGGGAGGGAGGGATTTGAGTGTGTCTGGGGGGATTCGGGAAGGGGAAAAGGAGGGGGCTGATTGCTCTTCGCTGGTAGAAGCACCATCGCTGTCACTATCGGAAGGGGCAGGAGCAGTAGCAGCAGCAGCAGCAGCAGCAGTTAGAGCAGCAGCTAGAGCAGCAGGAGGGGGAGGAGTAGGAGGGGGAGGAGTCATGACAGGCAGTGGCAGGCTAGCTTCTGCTTGTGGTTCCCCTGCTGTTGCTTCTTCTTCTGCTGCTGCTGCTTCTGCTACTGCTGCCGCTGCTGCTGCTGCTGCTGCATTTGCTGCTAGTCTCACCCTGGGTGAGGAAGGAGCAGGTAGTGTAGCAGGTGCTGGTATGGGAGTGGGCTTGCTAGGCCAGGCAGAGGTTTGGCAACGAGGGGGGTTGGGAGAGGCCGCACCAGCAGGCTCGGATGGGCTGGGATTAGGGTTGGATGATATGCTCTTGCAGCTTCGGGGAGGGGAAGCAGGTTTGGGCAGCAGGAGCATGGGGAGGGGGGGTGTTGGAATGGAGGGAAATGTTCGGTATTTCTCTCAGGGTATGTCCAATGGGGGATTGTATCAGGGGTACGGGCAGCAGATGGGGGGTTGGGAAGGGGGGGTGGTTGGTGAAGGGATGGACTTGGGGGGGCGTGGTGGGGAGGAGGTGTGGGTCGGGGACAGGGACCCATATAGAAGCATGCATGTGGGTTCACAATTTGGGCCTCCTCTTCTGGCTGCGGCGATGCATCATAGCACGCAGGGGCAGTTTGTAAATGCATATGAGTACGTTATGCCAAACTAGTGGCATGGGCAAACTGAAATTACGAATATGATGCCACTGAAATTACTTATGTTGTCAATTGGGTCTTCTACCAATGCATAACGAAATAAGGGTTACTGTCGATACGCACCGACCTACACATTCCCACCAAACCAGAGTCGCCCCGGAGTCCGCCACACCCCCAAATCCAGCTTGGCGGCCGCCCAGCTACGCATTCAGTGCGACAAATTTCGCGGTCCCGCCTTTGAAGAAGTTGGAGGATGGACGACATTGCGAGAAAATCGAACGGATGCGATGTGAAGAACGATAAAGCCTTTCCAAAAGTAACCCTGACTTCATTTCCAGCCAAATGCACGACATGTATGTATGTGGTGTGGTCTGACAGTCCATCTCTGAGCTCGCTTCGTGTGCTGTTTCTGACATGGCCGGTTACACGTATCGTTGGTTGATCCCCTAACCTTCAGGTGTCGAATTAGGCAATGGAAGCACATTCAGGGACGCAATTCGACTTCAGAGCTACGGTCTCCTTCAGCTCTTACCTAAGCATGGACTAACTCAGTAAGACAACTGCTCGATCCCAACCAGAAACAAGGCCACCTACGTATGGGTAGTTTCATAGAAGCTGACTAATTGACCCGAGGCTAACAGCATGGACCGCGTGGGCAGGCGGGGCATGCTCTGGTTGGCTGGATGGTGGTGTGGTGCCCCTCTTGCACCACCAACCTCGCCGTGCCTTCGCCACGCCACCAAGGCACACGATGCGGTTCACACGACACGACACCAGTCACACGACATACACAACACGAGACGGGTCGTCAAGTCCGCCCGCCCGTCACGCTGAGGTCTGTCGGGCGGGTAACCTGAGTTGTTGTGGCTGACCCCAGATGGACCTGCCCTGACGACATGGAATCGCTCTGTCCATCCGAACCAAGTTTTGAATCCCCAGCCAAAGGACCACCATGTGACCATGCTGACATCCATGCCCAATCAGTGAAGCGAGCCGGTTCGTTCCGAGCCAGATAGTCTCGCGCCGTGCCCCGCTCTGCCTGACACATGGTGGTGTCAGTCAGCACATGCCATGCGAAACCGTCTTGCTTCGCTGGCTTGACCATTCCCCACGCCAATCAAAACCCCTTAATCAATAACGGTGGGGTGAGATGTTGTGCACGTAAAAGCGTTTTATAAACAGTTTAGATCGGCTGGATAGAGTCTATGAGCAATCATCGACTTTGTAGAACAGTGCCTAAAACGACTTCCAAGATTCAGTACTCTTCTCCACATCAATCGTCAAAACAGTTCATTTTTATCTCGTCTTGCAGTAGCATGCGTCAGTTCAGATCGCACCTACACCACGCATTGACAGCTCCTATTTTTCCTCCCTCTCCCGCATTACAATAGTTTCATCCGCCGTCACCTCCACTCACCCTCCGTCACTTCCTGTCTTCCTCCGTCGCTTTCAGTCATCCTCCATCACTTCCTGTCATCCTCCGTCATCTCCAGTCGCCCTCCCCATCACCAGCCATGTCCACAGCAGCCGTCGGGCCCGCGCCTCTCCCGTCGGACCCAGTGCCGGGGAATGCGCCGGCGGGCAAGACGGGGCTAGAGAGTGTGATGATGGCGGCGGAAGGGCGGGGATGTTTAACGGCGGATAGTTTTATGGTGCCGCGAGGCGACCTCCAGCTCACCGACCAACAAAAGGAGCTCGTCGCCGAGGCGCGCGAGTTAATCTCCCAGAGCGGCATTTCGACAGATGTACGTTGCGGCTCGCGCTTCCCCATTCCTCCGTATCCCCCGTCTTTCGCGCTTTCTTCACTCTCGCGCAATGCTTCGCGCGCTCCTCGCATCATTCTCAGCGCTCCCAGCGCTCGTCGCCCGTTTGCCTCGCTTTCCCTGGCCGCATCCTGTTATTTCCCCCGAACACTCCCCCCCAACTACCTCCCTTTCCCCGCGCTCCCCCTTTTTTCCCCCGTCCCTTGCCCCTCCCCCTTACCCTCCCCCAGGACGTGGGCGACCGCACCATCATGCGCATTCTTGTCGCTCGCGATCCTTCTGAAACGCATCCAAGGCCACCCCGCGACCCCCCCTTCCCGTCCCGTCCCGCTCCCTTTTGGTCCCCGTCCCACTCCCCCTCCCCGTCCCACTCCCCCTCCCCGTCCCACTCCCCCTCCCCGTCCCACTCCCCCTCCCCGTCCCACCCCCCCTCCCCGTCCCACTCCCCCTCCCCGTCCTACTCCCCCTCCCCCTCCCCCTCCCCCAGGACGTGGACGACCGCACCGTCATGCGCTTCCTCGTCGCGCGCGCGCTAACCCCCGCCAAGGCCGCGCCCTTATACGTGGCGCACCGCAAGTGGCGCGCCGCGTACATCCCGAAGGGCGCCCCGACGGTCCCGATGGAGAGCATCCGCACGCAAGCCGCGAGCGACTTAATGTGCCTGCAGACCCTGCCGGGCCACGCGTCGTGGCTGCTCATTCGACCGCGCTTCCACGACCCCAACACGCGCAATCTCGACGAATTCGTCCGTGAGTGCGGCGCGGCGCGTGATGAATTTGAGTTCATTTGTGAGGCGCCTCGAAATGGATACTTTCCGCTTCCACGACCCCAACACGCGCTATCTGAACGAATTCGTCCGTGAGTGTTCCGCCGAGAGAGGCGGTTGATGAGTTTGAGTTTCATAGTGAGGCGCTGGCGTCCGCGCGCGCGCTTGTACGTGGCGCGCCTCTCAAGTATGGCTTGCGAGATCTGGACGAATTCGTCCGTGAGTGTACTCCGCGCTTCCACGACCCCAACGCGCGCCTCAACTGATGTTGAGTTTGAGTCTATTAGTGAGTGATCAATATGGATTAAGCTCAAACTGAGTTTCAGTCGAGGCGCCTCATGTAGGTTAACACGCGCGATATGGACGAATTCGTCCGTGAGTGTACTCCGCGCTTCCACGACCCCAACACGCGCGCTATCCGCCGTCGCCCTCGTCGGTCCCCGGCGGCGGTCCCCTTGGCCGCTCACCGTCACCGTCCGTCGATCTCCGTCACTCTCCGTCTATATTCTTGCTCGCTCTGTCGCCCTCCGTGTCGCTCGCTCGCTCTGTCGTGTGCTCCCTCGGTCGTCCTTCCTCGTCCACAGTGTTTTAAATCTCCCACTCTCTTTCCATCCCTCCCTGTCTCTTCCCCTCCCCTCCCCCTCCCCCTCCCCCTCGCCCTCGTCCTCTCCTTGTATGCGCGCAGGTCTCATAGTATACGGCATGGACGCGGCTCTCGGCAGGTGAGATGCACACATCATCACCCTTTGCGGTTACCACCCTTGTTTATCCCCCCTACTTGGCTCCCGCCTTGCCCATGCCACCTCAGCATCACCATCGCAGTACCCCTTTCCCCTCTCACCTCCTATGCTGAAGATTCTGGATTCACACTTTCTCTCGTCTCCCACTTCACGCTGTTGCGTGGCCTTGTGCCTGTATCCCGTTCTCATGTCCCCCTCCTTCACGTCACGCCCCCTCCTTCACGTCACCGCCTCCTTGTGCACACCCCCTCACCCCCGTCACCCCCTCACTCACCTCACCCCTTCCGCGCAGCTCGCGCGCGGCGGGCTTCCACAAGTGCGGCGTGATCATAGACATGGAGGGCCTGGCGTATCGCAACCTGGACACGCGCGGGGTGATTGCTGCTATCGCCGTGCTGCAGGTACGGCGCTTGTGGGCGGGCGAGAGAGTGCGAGATGGTGGGAGAAGGTAAGTGGAGAAGGTGCGCTATGAGTGCTAAGGGCACATTGTAACCTGTTTTTGAGGCACCTCAAAAGACCTGGACACGCGCGGAGCGACTGCTGCCATCGCTGTGTTGCAGGATGAGCAACTGTGCCATGCGCTGTGCCATGGGCTGTGCCAGTATCAGAGCCACAGTCCAGAATTCTCACAAGTGATTCCCCCTCCTTACGTGTGTATCTCCGTATCTCTGTCTTTTCGTGCGCGTCTCTCTGTGCGCGTCTCTCCCTCTCTGCGCGTCTCTCTGTGCGCGTCTCTCCCTCTGTGCGCGTCTCTCCCTCTGTGCGCGTCTCTCTCTCTGTGCGCGTCTCTCCCTCTGTGCGCGTCTCTCCCTCTGTGCGCGTCTCTCCCTCTGTGCGCGTCTCTCCCTCTGTGCGCGTCTCTCTCTCTGTGCGCGTCTCTCCCTCTGTGCGCGTCTCTCCCTCTGTGCGCGTCTCTCTCTCTGTGCGCGTCTCTCCCTCTGTGCGCGTCTCTCCCTCTGTGCGCGTGTCTCCCTCTGTGCGCGTGTCTCCCTCTGCGCGTGTCTCCCTCTGTGCGCGTCTCTCCCTCTGTGCGCGTGTCTCCCTCTGTGCGCGTGCAGAACCAGTACCCCGAGCGACTCATCTGTCTCTTCCTCATCCACGTACCCACCGTCTTCTGGACGCTCTGGAAGCTCGTCTCGCCCTTCATCGACCCCATCACCAAGAAGAAGGTGCGCTCCCACATGCCCGCACATGCCTAATGAGAATTCTAGATATCCGTACCCTTTTGACAATTCTAAAAAAAATATATCCCTTTTGAGAATCTTAAAAAAAACATACGATTCACTATTAGGGTGGTGTGTTCCCACATGCCCGCACATGCCTGTCTGCGCGCATGTGCTCGCCGAGACAGGTTCGCTAGCAGCAGATGCTGTTGCTAGGTTTGCCCTGGACAGGGGGGCATGGACTCTCTGGAAGCTTGTCTCGCCCTTCATCGACCCTGCTTCCGATTCCTGGAGGATAGGGCGATAGAGGAGACCTTACAAGCAGCCAGTCCCCTCATCTCCCCCTGTCTCCCCTACCCTCTTCCCCCCTCCAGTTCCGATTCCTGGAGGACAGGGCCATTGAGGAGACCTTACAGGCAGCTATCCCAAGGAAGCAGCTGCCGAGCCAGTATGGTGGAGGGCGAGTTCAATCCGATCCCCATCGTGCAAGTGGACACGTTGCCGTCCAATACCGAGTGAAATTGTTTTTTGAGGTCTCATCCTCTCATAAATTTCCGCCGACCTCTGCCCTTTTCCCCCCTCCAGTTCCGGTTCCTGGAGGACAGGGCCATCGATGAGATCCTACAGGCAGCCATTCCAAGGAAGCAGCTGCCGAGTCGGTACGGCGGAGAGGGCGAATTCACCCCCATTCGCACCGTTCAAGTGGACTCGTGGCCGTCCAATACTGAGTGACTTGTTGTTGACCTGCTGCTCACCGTCGACTGTTCTGTTCACCATGCGTGGTTCAAGGCGCCTCGCTCTCGTTCCTGTCACAGATACACACTCGCAAGTCGCAAGGCAGCACCCCATTCTACCCTACTGTACTCTACCATACCCTCCCCGTTCTCTCTGTTGGGAAGGGGACTCACTACTGGAGTGCAGGGGCAAGCTGTATGCAGGTCATGATTCAGGCTAACAGCACACAAGGCTACCACTGACAGAAGCTGATGTAAAAAACGGAGCAGCTTGTGTGTTGTAGATTTGCAGTTTGCTTCTTTTCTTAGGATCGTTTTGCTGTTTCTTGTTTATTCCTGAATTTCTGGCCGGGACTTGATCAGACTGAATACCTGGCCAACCCGGCTGCCTCTGAAGTGATGTTTTTAATTTAGCGCCAGTGAACCGAATCTTCTGGCGCTGCCTGTGTGAACTGGGCCGCACAAAGGGAAATGCACACATCAGCACAAAAATGTGTGGTACACATACGGGTATATGGTGAGAGAAGGTGGAGCACGGGGCTCAAGAGACCTTTGAGTCGACTCTGAAGACAGCTTGGTGGTGTTGGGCTGAGAAGCCCTAGGATCTTTGTAGAGTTAAAGTCTGAGTAGGATTGTAATAGCGGAAGCGTTGAATGAAAGGTCTTGAACCACCTTGCGCTAGTATGTGAGGGCAAAGTAAGTTGATTAAAACAAGCAAATACAAGGCTTTATATAAGAGCACAAGAAATACGAATAGATATAATAACTGTCTTGCTGTTGCGATTCGATACAGTGCGACTCGGGCAACTGCTCAATGTCGAGTCAGTTGTGTGTCCTTGCTGTCGCGCTGTATTGGTCAAGTCAAAGGTCGCTGACCTTTGACCTTCGCGTAACCTCCAGGCGGTTACCCTAACCTCCGAGGGTTGACTCGCGATGCTTCGATTCGGACTGCTTCGCTTTTGTGTCCTGAGTTTCGACACGACGGAGGCGCTTAAGACTTATTGTTCCCAACACTCCCCTTCGCTTCTGGAGTGTCGCTGATGGTGACGTGGCCTTGTCCAGTCAGCAGCATGCAGTACTCGAACTTCTGTTTTCCGAGCTTCTTGGTCAAATAGTCGGCTGCCATCTCGGACGTGGGACAGTAGGATAACTCGAGTTTTCCTTTCTCGATCTCGTCCTTCACAAAGAAGTATCGCAGAGCGATATGCTTCGTTTTGTTTGCGAATCCGCTTTTGTTGGCGATGCGAATTGCAGATTGGTTGTCGCAGAACAGGGTGAAGTTGGGTAACTCAGCTAACTTAGCTTCTTCCAGCAATTCGCGAAGGTAGAGTCCTTCCTTGGTGGCTGAGCAGAGGGCGATATATTCTGCTTCAGCTGAGGAGAGAGCGATTAGTTCCTGCTTACTCGACTGCCAGGAGATGGGTCCGATAGGCTCAAGACGATAGACGAAGCCGGTGCGAGAGCTGTCAGAATATATTTGCTGTCTAGCATGCAGTGGGGTACTCTGTAATGAGTACAACCCAATTTAGGGCAATGTACTTGTATCCCAACTCTTGCTAGTCACTTCACTTCCCTTCCAATTTCTCGACTCTCACCTAACCCACTCGAACTTACCTATCTCCTAGTGTGGGCCTAGGCTACTAAGCCTAGGCCCCACACCTAATATTTTCACATGGTATCAGAGCCCGTTATACCTTGGCCTGTGGGCCCCTATGCTTCCGCTGCAGTCCTTCTTCCTGCCGCGCGCTCCGCGCGCGGCGAAATTTTTTTAGGATTTCGGAGTTTTTCATCCCGCCGTGCGCTCGGGGCGCGCGGCGGTTTTCCCGTCCTTCGAAGCGCCCTCGGGGGGCCTGCGCGCTGCCCTCCCCGCTGCTCGTCGCGACGCCCGTGCGGGACCCGCGCGGCGTCACCCTGCTCGTCGCGACGTCCGTGCGGGACCCGCGGGGCGTCGCCCCTGCTCGTCGCGACGTCCGTGCGGGACCCGCGCGGCGCCGCCCTACTTGTCGCGACGTCCGTGCGGGACCCGCGGGGCGTCGCCCCTGCTCGTCGCGACGTCCGTGCGGGACCCGCGGGGCGTCGCCCCTGCTCGTCGCGACGCCCCATGCGGGACCCGCGGGGCGCCGTCAGTTCCTGCAGCAGCAGCCGCCGCCGCCCTGCAGCAGCAGCCGCCGCCAGGCCTACAGCAGCAGCCGCCGCCAGGGTCTGCAGCAGCAGCCGCCGCCAGAGCCTGCTGCAGCAGCCGCCGCCAGGGTCTTCAGCAGCAGCCGCCGCCAGGGTCTGCAGCAGCAGCCGCCGCCAGAGCCTGCAGCAGCAGCCGCCGCCAGAGCCTGCAGCAGCAGCCGCCGCCAGAGTCTACAGCAGCAGCCGCCGCCAGAGTCTGCAGCAGCAGCCGCCCCCAGACCTGCAGCAGCTGCCGCCACCGACCCAGCAGCAGCAGCCGCCGCTCTATCAGCAGCAGCAGCCGCCGCCGCTCTGCCGCAGCAGCTACCGCCGCCCAGCTGCAGGTGCCGCCCCTGGACCCGGTACGCCTTGTGCTGCCCGTGCCTGTGCTGCCCGTGCCTGTGCTGCCCGTGCCTGTGCTGCCCGTGCCTGTGCTGCCTGTGCCTGTTGCTGCCCGTGCCTGTTGCTGCCCGTGCCTGTGCTGCCCGTGCCTGTGCTGCCCGTGCCTGTGCTGCCCGTGCCTGTGCTGCCCGTGCCTGTGCTGCCCGTGCCTGTTGCTGCCCGTGCCTGTGCTGCCCGTGCCTGTTGCTGCCCGTGCCTGTGCTGCCCGTGCCTGTGCTGTCCGTGCCTGTGCTGCCCGTGCCTGTGCTGCCCGTGCCTGTGCTGCCCGTGCCTGTGCTGCCTGTGCCTATTGCTGCCCGTGCCTGTGCTGCCCGTGCCTGTGCTGCCCGTGCCTGTGCTGCCCGTGCCTGTTGCTGCCCGTGTCTCGTGCTCGCGCCCCCGTGCGCTCTGCTACTGTCTGCGCCCTCGTGCGCACTGTCCCCCCCCCCCCCCCCCCCCCCCCGTTTGCGGGTGTGGGGGTGCTCCGTTTGTGTCGCCCCTTCCTTCTCCTCCTCCGTCGTCTCCCACTGCTGCACCTGTCGCTGAGGGGGGTGGTTGTGTGGGAGACTGGGGTTTAGGGTTTAAGGGGGGTGCGTGGGAGTGGAGCTAGGGGTGTAGCAGCGGGTGTGTGTCAGGGGGGTGGGACTGTTTGTGGGAGGTTGAGCGGAGGCTGCCGTCTTGTAGTCCGCAGCACCTGTAGTCCGGGGCGCTGTCCTGGTAGCCCAGTGAGCCTGCTGCGCCTGTCGCCCGTGGGTCCGTTGCTCCTGCCGCTCTTCGTAGCCGCCGAGCCAGTTACTCCAGTAGTCCGGGGCGCTGTCCCGGTAGCCACTGTGCCAGCCGCTCCTGTTGCCCGTGTGTCTGCAGCTTCAGCAGTCGCCTCCCATCTCCTCTCCTCTCACTCTCCCTCCTCCTCCTCACCTGCCCGTTGTGACCACCACTAGCTTTGCTGATAATTGTGCACTTTAACTATTGCTTCTTGAACTTGTGCTCAGAATGTGTGGTGACATTGTGATCCACCCTGAGCTTGTACTGCTTTGCCTGCTCTGCTGATTTCACCCCACTTTGGCTATGGGGGTGTGTCAGAATATATTTGCTGTCTAGCCTGCAGTGGGGTACTCTGTAATGAGTACAACCCAATTTAGGGCAATGTACTTGTATCCCAACTCTTGCTAGTCACTTCACTTCCCTTCCAATTTCTCGACTCTCACCTAACCCACTCGAACTTACCTATCTCCTAGTGTGGGCCTAGGCTACTAAGCCTAGGCCCCACACCTAATATTTTCACAAGAGCGCCTGTTATCTGGATCGCCGGCATGGTCGGCATCGACATAGCCGATTAGTTTCGTTGACGCAGCTTTGTTCTTGTAGTAAGTTAGGCCGATCATCGGCGTGCTCACGAGAAAGTGCAGTGCGCGATCGAGCTCTGCCAGGTGATCTATTTCAGGCCTCTTGAGATAGGTAGCGAGTTGGCTAGCGGAGTAGGACAGGTCTGGGCGACAGGTGACGGCTGCAAAGAGTAGACAGCCCAGTTTTCGCTGGTAGTCGCGTATTCTGGCAGCTTTGAGTGGAGCGGAGTTTCCTTTGTCACTTCCTGCCGTGTAGCGGTATGGCGTGGCGATAGCAGTAGGTGTGAGCGAAAAGCGCTTGGCGATCGTGTCGGCGTATTTCTCGGCGCTTAGATAGATTGCGTTTTCTTCTTCGCGGATGTTGAGCCCGAGGTACTGCGTGACGGTAGAAGAAACCGTGAGCGTGAGGTCTTTCTGCAGCTCCCCTTCGAACCAGGTGGTGACGTCGTCGGTGGAGCCGATGTAGAGGAGATCGTCGACGTAGACGATGAGTAGGATGTAGTTGACGCCCTTAGTGAGTCGGTACATGCCTTGGTCATGAGGCAGTTGGCGGAATCTGATGCGGATGAGGCGGGTGTGCAGGTGCTGTTGCCACAGCCGTGGGGCCTGTTTGATTCCGTAGAGAGACTTTAGCAGTTGGCAGACCTGATTGGGTTCCCCGTGGGTACCGTGAGGGAGCTCGACGAAGATGTCGGCGTCGACAGGTGCGTAGAGGAAGGCGTTGGCGACATCAATTTGTCGTAGCTTCTTCTTCTTCATGGCGGCGACGGCGAGAAGGATTCGGAGAGAGGTATGTCGACTGACTGGGGCGAATGTTTCTGTGAAGTCCCGGCCCTGTTCCTGATCAAATCCTCGCACGACCTATCGTGCCTTGAACTTCTCAATTGTACCATCTGCTTTTGTTTTGATGCGGAAGACCCATTTCCCGGTGAGGATGGTCTTGTTCCTTGCCACGCTTGCGGGAACGACCTTCCAGGTGTTGCGTTCCTCCAGTGCTTTTAGTTCTCTGTCCATGGCTTCACGCCATTTCTCTCTGTGTTCCCCCCCCAGAGCCTGTTGAACCGTCGCAGGCTCTTTAGGAAGAGGGGAGCCATGGACAGCGGTGACGAGA